TACGCGGGCCTCTCACTGTTGTGGCCTCTCCCATTGCAGAGCACAGGCTCCGGATGCGCAGGCTCAGTGGCCATGGCTCACGGGCCCAGCCGCTCCGCGGCATGTGGGATCTTCCCAGACCGGGGCACGAACCCGTGTCCCCTGCATCAGCAGGCGGACTCTCAACCCCTGCGCCACCAGGGAAGCCCGGGAAATCTTAATTTGTACAAGAGGGAACCAATAAAATTGAGGTAAAAGAACTGGGGTGTAGTCACTCCTTTTATTTCTCCTGCAGGCAGATTTCTAGTAAATAGCAATAGCCATATTTAAAACAATTCCAAGTCTGTGGCCTTTTCCCCTGCAAACTATGTATTTTGTATATTGAGCCTAGGTACCAGGAACAGAAAATGCGGCACAAATCCTGCCATTCTCTGTCCCACCTGCCCAGGGCAGACACTGACAATCAATCAGCATTCCTTCCCGCTGAACACTTTATAATAAAATATATCAACTGATGGGCTTAGCTGAGATTTTGGTTGCTACTTTATTAACATTCGGGCCATGGTTATGATATTGCTCAACAAATATACATTAATAGTGATATAAAAATTAAGCCTCTAACCACAGCTGATCAGAGGAAATGGAGCCAGTCAGACCACGTGTTTATATAACACCTACCTGGACGCTACTGTCATCTGAGCTATCCCCAGAGCTCTGAGACTGAAGGAGGCTCTGACTCATACAGCTCAGCTCCTCTCTGAGCCTCACGACTTCCTCAGGCTTCAAGGTCAACTGCTGTTCTTCACCTTTCATATCTTGTTTCTGCTGTGAGTCCTCCTCCTTCTGTCCCTCTCTTGGAAAAGTGCCCTCCTTTACTGCCTCCTCTGGAATTTCCTTCTGCTTACTTTCTCCTAATTCAGGACTTAGCACAAATATAATAACAAAAGACTATCAAAATGCTCATTATACTAGCAGAATATGGAGGGAAAATACCTACCAGTAAAGAAAGTGCTGTGAGCAAGATTTTCAACTTGAATTCTATAGCAGAGCAGTTATCTTATTCTTGGAAATAAACTTTAAAAACAAATGAGTCATATCGTTTTTACTCATATTCAGGGAAATGACCCGTCATAGATTTTTGTCTACAGGTATAGACAAACAACCAGTTTAAGTGAGTTTTTCACTTTTTCAACTTTTAGTATGGCATTGGGCAGATACAGCTTATAAAGATTTTCTAAAAATCACTCAATAAGCGCCAGGCACTTTGGCAGGCACTAGTGCTACAATAGGACATAATCCCTGTCCCTAAGGAGCTTACAATTTAGTGAAAAATAAGGATAAGTTAACAAGTGATTATATTAAGTTAGTAGTAAGTAATCTGAGGCCTGATGGATGAGTACGCACAAGCTAGGCAAATGTAAAGGTAGGGATGTGTGCATACTTGCTTGTGTGTGTATATGTTGGAGGGTGAGTTGTTGGATGACTTAATAAATAAGATAGGTAAAAGCCCAGAGGCAAAAGAGAGAGTGTGCTTTAGAAACATCATTTGTAATCTGTGTGGCAGGGAAACCAGTTGAGAGATTGTTGTGATCTGCGTACTAAACAACGGTGACTAGAATAGGATGGTGGGAATGGAAAGGAGGAATGGATTCTAGAGATATTTAGAAGGCAATATTGATAGGATCTGTCATTTGCTGGATGTGGCAGGTGAGGGAGAAAAAGGAATAATGAGTGACACCTGGATTTCTGACTGGGGCAAATGGGCAAGTGGATGGTAGCCCAAGAAGGGGGAATATAGGTATAGACTGGAGACATGCCTGGGGTGAAGACACAGATACAGAGGAATGTGAGCAGAAACCTTGGGATTAGATAAGATGAGCCAGGGAGAAGCGGGAAAGTAAGAGGAGGAGGATCATTCTGGACAGAAGCCTAAAGACTTGTGAGGAACAAGCAGAGGGAAGAGGCCTGAAGAGGAGACTCAGAAGCCAGAGAGGGAGGAGGAAAACTAAAAGGCTGTAAGACATAGAAGCCAAGGGGAGGGAATGTACCTTTCACAGTTAGAGAGTATGAATGAAAAGTACAGTGAACACAAGTATGCTTATTTTATTTTTATTCCCTTAATCTTAAATTTGTTCCAGGTACTGTGGGGCCTAGCACAGGATGCTTCACAAATTATAGTTGGTGCTCAAATTCTTCAAGAAGGCAGTTTGGCAATACAGATGAAGAGCCATAAAAGTGTTCAGATCTTTTGACTGAATAATTGCATACCAATGAATTTACTGAAATAAAATAACTGACAAGAAGAAAAAAGCTGATTATAAAATAATGCTCAGAAGCATGGTATTCAAAATAGTGATTAAATGGAGACACAGAAATGGCTAAGAGGATTAAAGATAAACCAAATTGAAAGTGGTATGAAGACTATTCATCAACATTAAATACTTATTAAAGTAAGATGGTGGAACAATAAATAATATATATGTATATATATATGTGTATAAACATAACACATACTATGGGAAATGTAAATATAGAAAAAACTGGAAAGGAACACAGGAAAAATTGTGTCTATGGAGTTTTTTCCCTTTTAAAATTCCTTTTTTTTTTTTTTTTTTCGGCATTACACGGGCCTCTCGCTGTTGTGGCCTCTCCCGTTGCGGAGCAGAGGCTCCGGACGCGCAGGCTCAGCGGCCATGGCTCACAGGCCCAGCCGCTCCGCGGCACGTGGGATCTTCCCGGACCGGGGCACGAACCTGTGTCCCCTGCATCGGCAGGCGGACTCTCAACCACTGCGCCACCAGGGAAGCCCTAAAATTCCTTTAACACTGTATAAAAATGAATTAAATATTTTATTGTGAACTCAGCAGTTTTTTAGAGGTAATATATTTAAATGATTAAAAACATGAGATAAAAAGTAAAATGCTTTAAAAATAAATTTCTGATAAAATAACGATTCTTTCCATCCTCCATAAACTCTTTTCCTTGTCCTACGCCCAATGGAAGCTAGATATACTTGAAGACTGGGAAAATGCAAACATACACCTATTATTTTTTTTAAATGGGAAAACTCATTTCTGCATTCAGGAAGATAAAGTAGACATACTTTTCCCTATTTCTCCTACCAAGTACAACTAAAAACCCTGGACATTATATATAAAACAAACATAAGAAGACTCTGAAAGATAGAAAGAAGTCAGATCAGCTAGGTAACTCAGGACCTGAAGAACCACATGGTTGTGGTTTCCTAGGTTTTCTTGTAGCCTCATATATCCTAGACTTAAAGCTGAAGAAGCTGGCAACCTAGACAACACCAAGCATAGACAAAAGGCTTTTTACTCTATACAGAGGACCAAGAAAAGGACAACCAAGCAAGAAAGAAAACTTTCAGACATTACGCACTTTATTCCAGCCAAACGCCATAGAAAAAACTGTGGCTCCACCCCACTCATGTCAGCAAAGGTCAAACTGGGAGCCCACATTTCCACTTTCACCAGGAAAATGAGGCACAACTCCCCTGCTGCAGGTAGTGTCAGAGGCCAGTGGGGAGGAGGGACTTTCATCCCTGCCAGGCAGTACCAGACATGGGGAGTATGGACTTCCACCCCCACCTGGCAGTAAGGAGATACCCTTCTCTTTACCGGGGTAGTTTCAGAGGAGGCCTAGTGGAGAGTCAGGACTTTTACCACTGCCCTGCTCATGATATCATGGAGGCCAAGTAGAGAGCAGTAACAAGGCATCCTTCACCATCACAGTCAGAGCAGTCCAAGCACAGACCTAGTGCGGAGTAGGAACTCCCACCATGACCAGCAGTAATGAGGAGCCCCTCTTTCCTTGGATGTCCATGGATGCTGAGTGGGGAACCTGGACTTCTACCCCAATCTGGGGTAGAGAGCACCCCCCTCCACATACCCTGCCAGAGTGGTATCACAAGAAGCCAGCTAAATAGAAGGTTAAAACAAGACCTAGAGTTTTATAACATAATACCCCAAATATTCAGATTTCAATCTAAAATTACTCATCATACCAAGAACCAGGAATCTCAACTTGAATGAGAAAAGGCAACAATTAGATGACAAAATCATGATGACAGAATTATTTAACAAATATTTGAAATCAGACATCATAAAAATAATTCAATGAGCAATTATGAACACATTTGAAACAAATGAGAAAATAGAAAGTCTCAGAACTAGAGTCTCAGCAAAGAAATAGAAGATATAAGAAAGAACAAAATGGAAATTTTAGAATTGAAAAATACAATAAACAGAATTTTAAAACTCAACGGATAGAATCTATAGCAGAATGGAGAGGACTGACAAAAGAATCAGTGAGCCTGAAGACAGAAGAATAGAAATTACCCAATCTGAAAAACAGAGAGAAAATAGACTGGGGAAAAACGAAAAAAACAAAACAAAACAAAACAAAAAACAAAAAAACAGTGCCTCTGGGAACTGTGGGGCTATAATAAAAGATCTAATGCTTTTGTTATGGATCCCGGAAGGAAAGGAGAATAGGCAGGACAGAAAAAGTACATGAAGAAATAATGGCTACAACCTTCCCAAAAGACATAAACATACAGATTCAAGAAGCTGAGTGAGCTCCAAACAGGATAAACCTAAAGAAAACCATACCAAAAAACATCACAGTCAAATTTCTGAAAACTAAAGACAAATAAAAAAACCTTGAAAGCAGCAAGAGAGAAACATTACATTACAGAAAGGGAAAAACAATTCAAATGACAGCTGACTTCTCATCAGAAACTACAGAGATCAGAAGGAAGTGGCATAACATTTTTCATATGCTGAAAGAAAAGAACTGTCAACCTAGAGTCCTATAGAGTCCTATACCCAGTGAAAATATTCTTCAGGAATGAAGAGGAAATCAAGACGTTCACAGATGAAGAAAAATCAAGAGAATATGCCACTAGCAGAACTACTCTAAAAGAATGGCTAAAGGAAATTCTCTATACACATAGGAAATGATAAAAGGAGGCATACTGGAACATCAGGAAGGAAGGACAGAAAGAGTAAAAATCTGGATAAATACATTTTACTTCTCCTTTTGAGTTTCCTAAATTCTGTATGATGGTTGAAGCAAAAATATAGTACTGTTTGATGTGGTTCTAAATATGTGTAGAGAAAAATTTTAAGACAAATTGGGGAGGGTAAAGGGACATAAAGGGAGGTAAGGTTTCTACATTTCATTCAAACTGGTAAAATGTGTGTGTGTGTGTGTGTGTGTGTGTGTAAAAAGTAATGCCTAGAGCAATCACTGTAAAGCTATAAAAAGAAGCACACTCAAAAACATTATAGAAGAATCAAAATGGAATTATTAGAAAGTGTTCATATAACCCACAGGAAGGCATAAAACAGAAAACAGATGCAAATAACAGAGAGAACAAATAGAAAATCAAAAATGAAAAAATAGCAAACTGGGACTTCCCTGGTGGTCCAGTGGTTAAGAATCCACTTTCCAATGCAGAGGATGCAGGTGCGACCCCTGGTTGGGGAACTAAGATCCCATATGCTGTGGGGCTATTGAGCCTGCAAGCTCTAGAGCCCACACACCACAAGTAGAGAGAAACCCACATGCCGCAACGAAAGATCCGACATGCTGCAACAACGATCCCGCATGCCGCAACTAAGACCCAATGCAGCCAAATAAATAAATATTTTTAAAATAGCAAACTTAAGTTCTAATATACCAATAATTACATTAATGGTAATTTGGCCAAACACACCAATCAAAAGACAGAGATTGGCAGAGTGGATTAAAAAACAAGACCTAACTAAATGCCATTTACAAAAACTCATTTCAAATATAATAATATAAGCAGGGTGAAGGCAAAAATGGATGAAAAGGGCATATCATGCAAATATTAATAAAAATAAAGCAAGAGAATCTATATTAATATCTGATAAA